CAAGCCCTTTTATCCCAGTGGTTAGTGGCTGGGATTCTGACAGAGGAGGGGCCTCGTAGGGCTAAATATCGTCACCAAAGAAGTTGTTTATATTCCTGTGTACAAATGCAAAGAACGTTAGAGGACATTCGTTCTCATGTAGTACTTAGGGCGCGTGTCTTTTGGTGTAGACGTTCGGATTTTTTGTTGAAATTTTGTTGGTTACCCTATTCGTTAATTTCGCCAAATCCTTCGCATGGACGTCGTGTGTAATGAATATACATTCATTACTGTAGAGGCTGCTCCTAGCGAGGACAGCCCGAACAGTTCGCGTCAGCTGGGTTCCGCCTACACTTCCGCACCGAACCTATTCCGAGTCGCGCATCACCAATCGCGACATTTCCGAGCCACGCACTTCACGAGGTCCTCGCCTAGCACGGTTTCGACCCTATAAATGTGTGCTCCTTTAACATTCTTGATCATTCGATAATTCACATTCTCTTTATAAAGTCTTCCGCGCACTCTGTCTAGTAAAACTCATAACACTTGGTATCAGAGCTACTTTCCTAGCTTCCCCGTTTTTTAGAGTGTATTACCCCTCGGGGGGGGGGGGGGGATAGGGAAGGATGCCGTGGTGACAGGAGCAGCGCAGTAGCCGGCCAGGAGAACGGATAGTTGCTCCTAGCGGCCATGTTTTTACGGGCGCTCCTGCTGCACCGACGGATCCTTGCCCTCGACGGTCGAGATGGACCGTGGCCTCCCTCCCCCCGGGTGGCGGACAGCTTTTGCTGTCGTCGCAATTAATGCGTGAGTTAACTGTGGTCGTTTTCGTCAATTTTGGAGTTAATGCTGTGTAGCGGCTGACGTCGGCAGGATCGCCGTGGCTGCACGTCCGAAATTGTCGGAAGCGTCCATGGTGCGAGTTGCGTCGGCACGTGGTCGACAACTGCGCACGAAATCTTCGGAAGTGGGCTGCAAGCAGCAAGTGGCGCCGAGCATCTGCGTCACGTTGTGCATGAGTCCGCTGGAGATCTTCGGCAAGTGGCGGGTCGTCACTGTGCGCGAAGATTTCGGGTAGCAGCACGTGGAAAACGACTGCTGGTTGAGCAGCCAGGCGCAATGTGTGATTTGCGTCGGAAAATCCGACGGCGAGGAGAGGCGGCGTGACGACTGCCCGAAGAAAGCGGGGGTTTTCCGGCGTCCCACCCGGGTGCAGCGGCGTTCTGCACGAGGGTGCGTCGTGGGCGATTTTCTGCAGAGCGGCACAGTGTGGGACGGAAGTCGTTCTTCAAACCACCGAAAAGTTCGGAAAAGGCCGCCTACGACCAGACTGTTCCGGCTTGGGTGACTACTGTTTCTGGCACAATATTAATCGGCGAAAATTTCGGAGCAACAGTGACAGCCGATTCTGCACTTCACGCGGCACAGTTCCCTCCGGCCAGAGGTACCTGTGTTTGCAGACAGCCCAGTACACCACGGAACAACGATTCGGCGCAGCGTTTAGACCCGCGATTTTCGGTGGTTCTACTGGCTACAATAAACGGAGTTGCGACAAATACGGGTCTGGCGAGAGAAACGGGTTCCGCTTCATGAGGCGAGAAAACGACCTACTGCGAAGACTTTTGCTGATGCCTGGTTTCGCGGCTAAGCGGCGGTAGCAGAAGGAGCTCCCTACCGGCCAAAGTCTTACGACGTATCACATACCCCACACCAGGTTTGCCTCGAAGGCGTTCTAAGTCCTGTTGGCCCTGGACGAAAAAGGTGGGGCCCTGTGTTTAGCCCTGTGCTGGTTAGAAAGGCGCGGGTATGTGCTGGTTCGACGGCAGGGCGTACAAGAATTTTTCAAGGATGCGGCACTGTTTCGGCCCCGACAAAACAAGACCATCGGCAACAGTACCCGCCGAAAAAGTCGGGGTTGAAGAAATCGTGGCAGCTGTCGGAGTTTCTCCTGATTCAACGGTCTACCCGGCGGCGGTGTAGCGGCGAAGATGGAGTTCCCGAAGCTGTGGTATTTTATGCGATAGGCACGGTGGGCAGCGAAGCGGCCGGGCGGGCGTTTGATACGATAAACTCACCCCGGCTACGATAGCGTCGCGCCTTCATGAACGCCATAAAAATCGCGGGCAACACGGAGTTATACCTCATCCGACAAACGCGGCTGCTGGTTGAACGGTGGCTCGCCAATATTGTCGGGGGGTGAAACGAAAAAACAGAAGGTGGGAGACGGGTGAACTTCTGCCCGCCAAACGACTTCGCGGTGTACTTCGAAGCGGTCTGGGGAAGTTCTGCAGCGAAATCTGCGGCATCGATGCGCGCTAGGGTCCGTGAAAATCGGTCTCGGAAGACCCATAAGTACTGGGTTCCACGCCGAAAAAGCACCTACTGTTGGTGGGTAGCTTGGGTGGTTAACCGCACGAAAAAAATGGTGACCGGGTGGGCGTGCTAGAAACACCGGTTCTTTCGGGGGACAACCTGCAGGCGACCAGGATTTTACGGGGTGTGTTACTTTCCGACATTTACGGGTGCAACGAGCAGTTCCGAGAGAGTCTTAACGGAGTCAGCGGGGTCGCTGACAGTATCCGTGCCGACGGCCGACTGCAGCGTTGCATGATTAAGCGCGCGAAGGCACTTGTCGTCAAATGTGTAGCCGTACAAATCGGAAGCTGCTCGGGGGTACCAGCCGCAACACGGGTGAAATTTCTAGCAACAGGTGGGGGGAGGAAGGACAGCTTTTTCGCCTCTGCCCCGAAGTTCTCGGCGAGTCACGACAACGTCGCCGAGGTAGCTGGCGTCATCGGCAGTCAAGTTCAACTGTATCAAAAAAGTTTGCGTGGTCAGGGGGACGAGCGGCAGCTGTATTTTCGTCTCTGCCCGGGAGTTTTCGGAGGATCAGGACAAAAACCTCGGCGAGCCACGACAAGAGCGCCGGAGGTGCTGACGTCATCGATACCTGAGCTCGAATTTTGATTGAATTTCGATGAAGATTTCACTACAACGCTGGGTCTGTTACGTGATCCGCCCTTCTCGCCGATAGTCGCTGATGTGCTACAACGACTTCGTGATTTTCGCGACGGCTTCGACGACGAACTACACGATCCGGAGTCACGACAGTTGAAGTTTGGGACAAGTTCGTTTTCAACAAGCGACAGAATAGAAACGGAACTGGGCAGCAACTGCTGCCAGCTGGAGATACTGCAGCAGTCGGCTGATTAGATAGTGCCACGATTGGATATTGGGTGGCAATCGCTGGAAATGCTGCAGCAGCAGTCGCGACAACACGACAGCAGCAGAAATTTTGGATAGCGGATGCTGCCAGCTGGGGATGCTGCAGCCGGCGGGATATTTCTGACAGGCTAGCGACAGCAAGAACATTTTCAATCGCATCAAATTCTACGACGGGCTGCAACGGCGTTTTCCCTGGGTATTGTTTTCGGAGTCTTCGACAGTGGAGATTTTTCACCACCGACTACATTTCGACAGCGCAACTGCTAACATTTCTACGGAGTTCATAACACTTGGTGTTTTGTCAACACTCGGCGGCGGCCGGGTTGTTGTGTTTTCATACCCGCGCAGCTGTACTACACTGGGAGTCTACCCTTCTATTTCAGGGAGGGGGAGAAAGGGATATTTTCGCACTGTACTTGGCAGTTTCTGACAGCCGCGTCAGGCCCTGACAACCCCATCGGCACCAACGGTCTCTGATCTCACCGGCTTCTTCGGCTTCTGACAACGTGTCAGAACTCCCTCCAACATCGACAGCGTCAAAACCGTTCGATTCGCCATCGTTTCATCGACGACTCATGTTCCTTCGTGAATTCAACTCGACTTTCCAATTTTCAACCGCCCGATCGACATCGACGGCTGACATCCCAACCATTTCGAATTTCGCCTGGTCAACCAGTCAGCTATGCGTCAGCTCGACGGTCAACGCCTTCTACACCGTCAGATCAGCTTCGACCGAGATCTGCAGTTTTCACGCTACTGCAAGACTCGTCTTCGTATAAGTACACCTTATTTAGAAGGTGGGAGAGTGTAATGAATATACATTCATTACTGTAGAGGCTGCTCCTAGCGAGGACAGCCCGAACAGTTCGCGTCAGCTGGGTTCGGCCTACACTTCCGCACCGAACCTTTTCCGAGTCGCGCATTACCAATCGCGACATTTCCGAACCACGCACTTCACGAGGTCCTCGCCTAGCACGGTTTCGACCCTATAAATGCGTGCTCCTTTAACATTCTTGATCATTCGATAATTCACATTCTCTTTATGAAGTCTTCCGCGCACTCTGTCTAGTAAAACTCATAACATTGTGTGTCTATGTACACTGCCGGCATCGGAAAAAAGTTGAGCTCCTAAGTTGAACCCTCATCAACAAACATGTTGGCGCGAATGTGCAAGTGTGCGTCCAACTCATCAATGACAGCGACGATGCGAAGCCTGCGATGCTTGCAGCTAGCATCGTGCGCACGAGGGTGCTAGACAGCGCCGCACCTGGTTTCGGCAACGCACACGTGGCTGCGAACGTGGCACGAACCCAACCTACCCGAATAAGCTCGGCCATGTTACTGACGCCGACGCGGAAATTTGGCGCCACTGTTTTTGACATTTCGCAAAAAAACACAACAACTGGGCCACACCAGCTCAACACAGCTCCAATTCAAATATCTCCTCGTCTACCATTATTCATAAGTCCAGACTTACTTCCCCGAGCAGACAACAATTAGTAGCCATGCTTCCCGATACTGTAGCCGGCGACGGAAACCCAGGCACGTCCGCCAATCCCAATGCACTTCCAGCTACCTCTCAGAACACTAACCCGCCTCAGCGTCGCACACGCGCTAACAACACCACCAACAACTCGGGGCGGCGCCTTGAAGTGATAGATCTGGACACTATCATTTCAAAAGTGTCAGATCCCACCCAGCTACTTAACGCGGACGACAACTCCCTCGCCTATTTCGACGCTGGGGAGGTAGAGACTGACTTCAACGACACTGAGGAAGAGGAGGCAAAGCCCGTGATGCCTGGGGAAAAGCGCAACGGGTGGAGCGACGTAGAAGTCATGCAGCTCGCCTGGACGCGGCACGACATAGACGAGGACGTGCGGGCCCAGACCCGCCTCCAAGGCCAGAACCGAGACGTGACGGTCTGGCTTGAGCTCAAGCGCCGTCACCCGAACTTTCGCCACAAGTTTTCCGCGGTGAAGGGCAAATTGTTCCGCGTGGAGGCCCACTAACGTAAGGTGCGGGACCTCCTCCTCAAGCCGTCGCGCAAGGGGCGTCCCCCCGAAATCCTGTTTTATTACAACATTTACGATCGCATCTTCGGCGATTGCGCAAATGCTGTGCCTCCCGCGCTCGCTGGTAGACTTCCCGGCGCCAATGTCATCCGTACTCCGCCTGCTACGCTCGCCATTACCGGTAAGACATCCTGGGGTTTAAACGCGAGATGCCAGAGCAACATCTTCTCATTGATTTCACATGCAGCATACACTGATACATCACAAGTTGCTCTAACCACACTTGAAGCCCCATCACCCTCCACATGTGGTCTGCCTTTGCAGAACCTGGTCCGGGGACCGAGGCCTTCGGGGCAGGCTCCCAGCCCGTGGCATCTGCGGCGCCATCCTCGCCATCTCCTGTGCCAGAGCTGATGTCTCAGCCGTCGTCTCTGCCCACCACGCCTTCGCGCCACACTTCGCCTACTGCGGCGGGCGCCTCTCCGCCTCTCTCACGTAGAGCCGGGGCGAGAGCGGGTCTGTCGCTGCGCGGGAACCGCGTCGTCCGCTGGCCGAGGGCACGGGGACATATGGGGGTATGCCCGTAATGGGCGGAGGTATGACAAGCAGTGATAATACATTGTGCGATCGCGTGTTGCCGGCACTATGCATGCGCTGATGCGTGAAAATTTTCAGAATTTCATGACACTTACCTGAGAGCTGGCACAAGCTGGTCTGGATGGCCAAGGCGCCAAGAGGCGTAAAGATACGCCGCCAGACGAGAGCGGCGGCGGTTCAGCGTGAAACCTTCCGCGCTCGGCGGGTAATGCGGCGCCGTCGCCGCCGGTCCCAACTGCCACCAACGGTTGCGCTCGCGGGTCTCCCCCAAGCGCGGGCGAGCTCCGAGGACCAAGTCGATGTTGTGCAGCGTGACGCAGGCGGCGACGTAGCGTGGCGCCCGGAAAATGTCACACTCGAGGCGGCTGTCGAGCAGGTGCCATTTCGTCTTCAGACGACCGTTGACCTGCTCGACCACCATGCGCGAGCATGACTACTGAAGGTTCCAGACGCATTGCTCGTCAGGCAGGTGGCGCCCGTAGTAGCGCGGTAGGGGGTGTAGATGTAGTTGTGCAGGCCGTACGCCGCGTCGCCAACTATTGCGTAGTCATGTAGGCCACCTTCCTCAATTCTGGTTCTTGCGGGGCTGTTCTGAAAGATGCGTGCGTCATTGACGCTTCCCGGGTAGCCAACGAAGAAGTCCCAGATGAGTCCATTGCAGTCGCATATTAGTTGCAATATATAAAAAAAAAAAAAAAATCTTTCCTGTTACGAAAATCTTCTCGATGAGCCCCAAAGCCGCGGCACCGAATGTAGGTGCCGTCAATAGCACCCACCACTCCAGGGATGCCGGCAAATGCTCTGAAGTTGGCTTCGAATACACTGAACATTTCTCTGTCGAGCCACCAAACCCACTTGGTTGTCAGCACACGCTCCATGAAGTTGAGGAAACGGCCAAACAATTTTTGGGTGTAAGAGAAGCTGTACCCAAACTGACGACCAATTTCACGAAAAGGCAAGCAAGCCATGGCCCAATTTGCTAAGTGCCATGCCGATGTTCATGAAATTGTAAACAGGATTCTGCCACGTTGCGTAGGGGCTACGCTGGTACTGCCTCACCAAATAGGTAAACACCCTTTTGTCCACCCGCATATATTCGTAGAAGCTGCCGTCCGGAAGAATGCTGACGAGGCGGAACCAGCAAATACGGGAGTCCAGGCGATCTCCCCTGATGAACACGCGGGAGCGACGGAGCGAAAGTGCAACGACGAGGCTTGGGAGAGCAGCACCGAGGGCGACTGAGAAGGGAAGCAGAAACAGTCGCATGTAACCCTGCCAGACTATTGCAAGGAATCGCAAAAGCTGGGGGGTCGTCATGGTGTGATAGTGCTGTGAGCTGGACGTTTGACACGAGGGCTATTTGTAGCCCATGTGTCATCGAGTCGCGGGGGCCTTACGTGGCGCGCTGTCAAGAGCCCAAACCGGGTAACCTACGAGAGTAGGTCGCGGCTCGGTTGGGCTGCAAAAGTTCAACTTCGATAGTTGAACTTTTGTGTGTCTTGTGATTCTCGGGAGGGTTGGAACCGCGACTCGGTTTGCAGATGCTGAAAACTCGAGCCTAGGTCGACCTAGGTTCAAATGTGTACAGTTCGACTCAAAATCCGAGTTTTGCATATAAATACCAAAAGACACGCGCCCTTATAGTGTAAACCGATGGGCTGAGTTCCTCTTCGCCACGTAAGGGTGTGTGTCGCGAGTCAATGTTAGAATCTAGAGACAAGAATGAATGCATTGAATGAAACAGTTGGGTACAAGTAGCAAACCCTAGTTGGGGTTGTACCCCATATTGGCTACCCCACTACAGCCTACCAACATTTAACACACCCCCATAGGCAAAGTGGGGGAGAACAAAGGGTCACAAGACCAGTCCAGCAAAGCAACGCAAGCCCAGGGTGGATCACAATGTCACCACACTCCGAGCACAAGCAAAGGCCACAAGGCCAGTTCACATGCAGTGCTAGATATAGTACAAGACAAGCAACACAGTGATCAAAACCTAGCAAGCAAGCAACAAGATATATATAAAGTACAGTGTAAAGAAAGTCAAGCAGTAAGCAAATGAGGGAATGTGGACACAAAACCTAAAGAAGTACAGTGTCGCTGATGATCACTAGGCGGGAGCGCCTTGGTGAAGATATCAGTAGTGTTGGCCTTCGAGTCCACGTACACAAGCCGAAGCTGACCGCGCTGCTGAAGCTCTCGAGCAAGAAAGTAGCGAAGAGCAATGTGCTTCGTCCTGTGCTCCAGTCTGTGCTCCTGACACAAGGCAAGGGCCGCCTTGTTGTCACCGTACAGAACTGGAGGAGAACTAGGCCGCTCTCCCAAGTCAGTCAGCAGGTAGGTGAGCCAGCGTAACTCCTGTGCAGCCATGGCCGTGGCGTAGATCTCAGCCTCACAACTAGAGCCGAGAACAGAAGAAGAGCGGGTGGACCGCCACGAGACAGAACCAGAGCCAAGGCTGAAGGTGTAACCCTGTGACGACCGCTGCGTAGCCAGGTCGTCCACCCAAGAAGCGTCCGAGTGACCAGTGAGGACAACTCTGTCGCGTCCTCCAAGCACCAGCCCCATGCCTGACGTACTGCACAAGTAACGCAGCACCCTCTTAGCAGCCTCCCAGTGCTCTCGCCTGTGTCTCCCAGGCGCAACGTAACGAGCAAGGATGCTAAGAGGGTACGCGAGGTCAGGTCGCGTGCAAGTCATCAGGTACATGAGGCAGCCTACAAGCTCTGGGTACGGGCCACTCGGCTCTACGGACTCGTCCGAAGGTGGAGCTGAGAGCGAGTGGCTGGTAGCCAGAGGTGTGGCCTGTGGTGAGGAGAACTGGAAGCCGAAGCGCTGAAGGACCTGCTGCACCATGTGTGACTGAGTCAGGGTAATGGTGCGGCGTGCTCTGTCCCGGGTGATCTGCAAGCCAAGGTAGCTACGCAGCTCACCCAGGTCAGTGCAGGTGTGTCTCTTCTGCAGCTCCGACTTCACACGAGCGAGTGCCTCAGTGTCAGTAGTAGCAAAGACCAAGTCGTCGACGTACACGAGAATGTAGAACGGCGGCAGCGACGTGTCTGTGCGCAGGAACAGCGACGGGTCAGCAGTAGACGGCGCGAACCCAAGAGCCGCAAGTGTAGTCCTCAGTGTGTCGTGCCACTCACGTGGCGCCTGGCGGAGACCGTAGACTGGCCGCCGGAGGCTCCACTGGGTACCAGGAGGAAACGACCCAGTAAAGCCAGGTGGGCGGCGCAGCCAGATCTCCTCGTGCAGGCTGCCCTGCAAGAACGCTGTGCTGAAGTCAAGAGAGTGAAGCTCGTAGTCACGCTGAGCAGCAACGTGCAGTAGAACCCGAAGAGTGGTCATCTTCGGGGTGGGGGAGAAGGTCTGGAAGAAGTCAACCCCCTGACGCTGACTGAAGCCTCTAGCAACGTAACGAGCCTTGAAGACAGGCGGAGAACCTGGCGGCCGCTTCACCCTGAAAATCCACATGCCATCGACGATGTTCGCCCAAGGAGGGGGAACCTCGTCGACGTAGGTGCCTGTGGACTTCCAGGATGCCATCTCTGCGTCCATGGCTGTCTGCAACTGAGAGGAGTAGGGACCCGAGATCGCCTCTGCGTAAGTGCGCGGAGTGGGGATGTCTAGTGCATCCGGGTCTCCCTCAGGGGCAAGCAACCAGGCCACGAGATGAGGTACAGCAGCCGCAAGAGAGTCAAAGTCCTCCTGCCTGTCCTCAAGGACGTCCGTGCCAAGAGCACACTCACCCCCGACGGACGGAGGACAGACAGACTCAGACTCAGTGACAAGACTGGCAGTGAAGTCTAGACGACAGGCAGCAGCAAAGTCGACAAGCTCAGCGACAAGAGCAGACGCAGCAGCAGACTCAAACGACGGGTCAGTGACAACTGTGGCTAGGAGACGCGTGACAGTAGGGTGCTCAGCACGAAACCGGTCAGACGCCGGGTCCGGAACGTCAGGCAAAGAGGACGCAGGAGGAGACGGCAGAGGAACAGGCTGCGGAACAGAGGAAGGACGACGGACTACGAGGTGTGCGCTGGGGACAGCCGGTGGACGCGAACGAGGAACACGACGACCGGTACGACCAGGCGAGACAGGACGCGACGCAGGCTCACGACGCTCAGCAGGACTACCAGTCAGCTCCGTGTAAGGAGAAGGAGCAGGCAGCGGCGAGCCAGACTGTAACGGAAGACCAGTAGACGACGGAAGAGTAAGAACCTGACGAAGAACAGAGGCAGACGGCGGTAGAGACGACGGAGACGGCGGAGCGAAGAACAGTCGTGTCGGCGCAGCTGCACCAGTACCAGCAGCTCCAGCAGCTCCAGTGCCTCCAGCAGCTCCAGTACCTCCAGCAGCTCCAGTACCTCCAGCAGCTCCAGAAGCTCCAGGCCCAGAGCCGACGCCTAGAGTCCCAGGGTCTCCAACCTCAGGGTCTCCAGCAGCAGCACCCCCAGAACCAGCACCTCCAGCCCCAGGGTCTCCAACCTCAGTGTCTCCAGCAGCAGCACCCCCAGAGCCAGCACCTCCAGTCCCAGGGTCTCCAGCCTCAGTGTCTCCAGCACGACTCCGAGCTCCAGCAGCGCGACGCTGACGGCGACCGTACCAGTCCTGCAGCTGCTGTGGGGTGAGAGGCACACGGGGACGAAGGCGGCCACTCCAAGGAGACCGCGCAACAGCAGACTCAGAACCCTCAGCGCCAGCACCCCCAACTGCTCCAGAACCTCCGGTGTCAGTACCCTCAGCACCAGTACCTCCAGCGGCTCCAGAACCTCCAGCGCGAGCACCCTCAACAGCTCCAGAACCTCCAGCTCCAGCGCCACCAGGACTAGGCCCTCCAGCAGCTCCTGAACCTCCAGCGCCAGCACCCTCAGTAGCTCCAGAACCTCCAGCGTCAGTACCGCCAAGCTCAGCACCCCCAGACCCCTCACACTCAGGCTCAGCACCACCAGGCTCTACACCCTCAAGCTCCGCACCCGCAGGCTCAGTA